CAATATACAGGCATAGTACGCACATAGTACGTACATGAAAAGTACATCTTCATGCATGCAATATATATGCACACACAAAGTATTTACATGTATATACATACATAGTACATATTATGTACTTAACGTAAAACATGAATATTCATAGTTCTGTGACAATAGTACGTAGTACGTAGTTAACGTAAAATATACATATTCATGCATGCATGCAATAGTACGTAGTTAACGTAAAACATACGTATTCATGCATGCATGCAATATACAATATTATGTATATGCTATTATGCATACAAATTATTATAGACATGCATAGTACGTACATAAAACATCCATTTGCATGCATGCAATATATGTGCGCACACAAAGTATTTACAAATGGTAGAGTATGCACGTAGTATGTACATACTACGTACACACAAAAAACGTACATATGTACACTGCTCTGTACTATACAAATGATTCATCGTTCACACACACACACATATTACGTACACATGTAATGCATAGCACATACATTCATACAATGCCAACATTCATTACTTACATGCACACCGTAAACACGTGGACATGTAATACGCACAAAGGAACTTAGGAGACCTAATACGTACATACATAGATGCCATATCCTTGCGAATGTGTGTATGTACGTACATACATGTGGCATACGTATGTAGTACTACGTACTTATGTAGATAGGTACGTACATACACACATACATACATACATACATACATACATACATACATACATACATACATACACATCCATCCATCCATCCATCCATCCATACATACATCCATACATCCATACATCCATACATCCATACATACATACATACATAGATACATACATACATGCATACATGCATACATACATACATATGTACGTCCCTCTGGCCCTCCCCTCTTCCTCTCCCCCAGTCCCTCCATCCTTCCCTTTGTCCCTCCCTCTGTCCCTCCCTCCGTCCTTCTATCCCTTGTCCGTTGCTCCGTTCCGGCCTGTCTCCCTCTGTCCCTCCACCCACCCCTTTGTCTGTACCTCCCGCCATCCTTCCTCTCTATCTCTCCTTCCTTCCATCCCTCCATCCACCCCTCTGTCTGTACCTCCCACAATCCCTCCTCTCTTTCTCTCTCCTTCCTTCCTGCGTCCCTCTGTCCCTCCGTCCCTCCTTCCTTTCACCTCCCCAGTCCTTCGTCCTCCAACCGTCCTTGCATTCTTCTTGGATTTGTTGACTTCAAAAAAAAAAAAATGTTGTTGATATTCTTTGTTAACTATTTTTTGAATTCTTTTTTTAACTCTTTTTTGCATTCCTTTTTGAATTCTTTTTGGAATTCTTTTTGGAATTCTTCTTTGAATTCTATTTTGAATTCTCTTTCGAGTTCTCCTTGGAATTCTTCTTTGAATTCTCTTTCGGAATTCAAATTTTTATTTTGAGTCGATGAATTCTTTTTCAAATTCGAAATAAAAATTCCGTTATTTCAAATTCTATTTTGAATTTTTATTTTGAATTCTTTTTTGCATACTGTTGTCGATCTTTACAGGAGGAAATGGAAACTGCAGGAACGACCTGGAGCCGTGGGCCATCGGCCCTGGTCCCGATCCAGGGCCAGAGGACAAGAGAAAGTTGAAGGTGTCCTGGTGCCGAGAGGCGCATCCGCATCCCTGTCAGTGCTTGGGCAGGGAGTGCCGAGGGGTAAATTCGACTTGCGGCAGCTGCTCCAAGGGCATGTTTGCGCAGGGTGCAGACGGAGAGCCCTGAGCTGTACTCCCCCCCATAGAATCAGGGTCAGAAATCTGTCGCAGCGGCGTTCCGCGGCACGGAAAATGGTTCACCTCCTCTCTTCAACCACCACCTCCTCCTCTTCCTCGTCCTCCTCTTCCTCCTCCTCCCCCGATCTGGATCAACCGGTGAGATGCATGTCTCAGGGAGAAGGTCCTGCAAATTGTGGTGGCGATGGCACGGGATCAATCTCCTCCAGCGGCAGGTCGGTTGCGCGATCTCGCAATCGACCCAGCTATGTCGTGGCGCCGAAGCAGCACTTGGCTGGCGGCGCAGGGATTCATCCCTTGGATAGGTAAGGGTTTTGGCGAACACCCCACCCTTCTCTGCAAGGTTTGTCGAACGGAAAAAAAAAAGAAAAAAAAGTTGCCTGGATTATAAAATAAAAAAAAAAAGAAAGAAAGAAGAGCACATACGCAATGTTCCGCCGTTGGAGGCTTGAGCACGCATGTGGCTCCTACGGGGTTCCCCGTAATCCTTTAATGACAATAAAAAAGGCCTGAAAGGCCGTCCTGTCCAGATTCGACAGGTATTTGAATTGGTTGGGCTTAAAGAATTAGCCTTTATTTTTATTTTTTTTATAAAAAGAGAGAGATCAAGAAGAAGACAAGGAGTTCCTTGCAAATCTAAACGGGCTATCTCTGCCCTCCATCCAAGATGTTGATGTCAACCGAAGCTTATCTCCGGAAGAGGGTACACCCCCAGTTTCTTGAGCACGAGGCTGACATCGCTACCTTCTTCCCCTGAATACAACGGACGGTCATTATAGCTGTATTTGGGGTATCTTTAAGTCTAAATACAGCTATAATGACCGTACGTCTAGGCTACCAGAGTGGCCCGGGGCCACTTACCCGGCCGGGCCAAAATAAAATAATAAAATAATAAAAAATATATTTAAAATAATAAAATAATAATGATTTTTTAACTTTATTTTTTATTTTAAATTTGGTAAAGAGTTTCGATATGACCCTGAGGCAAAAGTTGTTCAGTTTATTTTTTTTGCATAACATAGTTTTTTTTCGGATTTTTTTTTGTTTTTGTTGTTTTTTTGTTTTTTTTTTGTTTTGTTTTTTTTGCTAGGACCTTCCCTGGGCCTTGCACGGCCGGGCCGTCCGGGAAAATAGGGTGATCCGGGCGGCCTGGCTGGTAGCCTAGCCGTACGTTGTATTTGGGGGAAGAAGGTAGTTCTGTCCTTTCCATCGTAGATGGGGTCTTTCTGTCCTCCATCCAAAAAGATGAGCAGTTCCCGATGTCAACTGAACCCCAACTGAACCCCAACTGAACGCCAACTGAACCCCAACTGAACCCCAACTGAACGCCAACTGAACCCCAACTGAACCCCAACTGAACCCCATATCAGGAAGAGACAATACACCTCCACACGTTCCCCTAGTTTTGTTGAGCACAAGGCCCTGGCCTTGGTGAAGCCGTGTTATAGATGGCCTACTAAGATCAGGCAGTCTGGAAAATGACCAGAGCCCAAGCCACTGGGTTACTGCTGTGCTAGTCGAGGATGAACCTGGCCCAAGAGTTGGACCAGGTTCATGTTGGTCCAAGCATGAACCTGATCGGCAGTCGGATCAGGTTCATTTTGGTTCAAGCCCCACAGCTGGTTGATCAATCAAGAAGGTGGGAGGCCAAGGAAACATTCACCGATAAGACGTGCAACTGACGGTTGAAAATATAGTTTGTATATATTATTTTATAATATTGTTTTTGTATATATTATTTTATAATATTGTTTTTGTATATATTATTTTATAATATTACTTTTGTATATATTATTTTATAATATTAAATATTGTTTTTGTATAAATTATTTTATAAGTAAAAAAAAATAAAAAAATCGTGGAGGGCCGTGAGCCATTTCAAACACGCTGGAGGTAGAGCTGATGTGGTCATTCCCCAAGGCAAGTCAGCAGTGCAGGTGCAGATCATGCACCTGGACATCATGATCTGCACCTTGACATCATGATCTGCACCTGGACATCATGATCTGCACCTTGACATCATGATCTGCACCTGGACATCATGATCTGCACCTTGTGGTGGTGGCCTCTCCACCCTCCCTGTCTCAATATGTCTCTTGCTTTATGACCTGCAGCCAGCTTTCCTTCTCTCTCCCCTTTGTGTGGCTCCTCCAAATGCCTACCCCTGAGATAAGGCCATGTGCTCAGACAGACCCTAAACCCTAAACCCTAGACTGTAACCCCCCAAAGTGTTTGGGGGGTTAACTTATGAGCTGAAAATTGGGGGTCCCTGTTAGTCGTTTATGTGTGCTCACTGTAGTAGGCACACTAACTGAGGCTCCCTGCCTCAACCCCCCCTTGTCCTTTTGCTTGTCCTTGTGATTTATGCTCATGCATGTGCTTGTTATTGCTGCCATCCACGTGCTCGTGCTCATGCGTGTCCGCCTCCTTGTCCTTCTGGTCCTCCTCTTCCTCTTCCTCCTCGTCCTCGTCCTCGTCCTTGTCCTCGTCCTTGTCCTTGTCCTTGTCCTCGTCCTCGTCCTCAGCCCTATCCCTATCCCCGTCCCGGTCCTGGTCCCCGTCCCTGTCTGCATCCCAGTCCCCATCCCCATCCCTGTCCCTTTCTGTGCCCCTGTTCCCGTTCTCAGTTTCGTACTCGCCGTCATCCTCATCCTCGTCCCCAGCCTCTTCCTTCTCCTTGTCCTCATCCTTTCCCCCTCCTCTCCTTCTTGTCCTTTGTCTCGTCCTCAACCTTGTCCTCTTACTCAACCTTGTTCTCATGCTCGTCCTCGACCTTGTCCTCGCCCTCGTCCTCGTATTTGTTCTCATCCTCGTCCTTGTCCCCGTCCTTGGGCCCCCATCCCCGTCCTTCTTGTGCCCGTCCCCTTCCTCATCCTCCTTATCTTCCCCCTTGCCCCGTCCTCCTCGTCATCCCTTCTCCTCGTCTTCGTCAATGCCATCCTCGTCATGGTTCCTTCTCCCCCCGCATCCTCGTTATCGTCGTCCTCCTCATCTTCTCTCGTGTCCTTGCCTCATTATTTCCCCTCTTCCTCCTCTACATTCAAACTTCGGTCATATTGCTTCCGTAACACATCACAAGCATCTGTGAGTGACACACTGTTTGTGTGCATGTTCGGAAACGCCTGTCGTCCTCTCACATGCTTGCGGCCTCTCGCTCTCTCACACAGACAGACTCTGGGTCTCTCTCTCTCTCTCTCTCTCTCTCTCTCTCTCTCTCTCTCTCTCTCTCTCTC